TATCTCGCAACTCACACTGGATAAAAAAACCCTTTGCGATGGTCGTCGTATCTGATTAGTTCCCGGTTCTTCATGTACACCCAGAAATGATAAGCTTTGTTACAAAAAGATACCGAATAACATTTAGGTATTTTGTGGTGATGGGTCCCTACCTTATGTAAACTACACTATCATCTACGTGTACAAAATTAAATTTGTCTACACCCTGAAACTCATATCGACAAAATGCAGAGAATATCACATTATTGTTCATATATGACTCTTTTCAACGAGGTTTTTAGATAATCATAAGCTGCACAAGCCACATAATTAGATTGGCTATTCGTAGAGTGTATTCTACAGAAACAAGCTTTCCAGGAGTTCAGTCCCATATTTTAATCCGGCTTCTTTACCATCTGGGGTCGTAAATAAACTTAAGCCCTGTTTGGACAGCTGTCGCCAACTTGTCAATGATCGTGTCCAAGATTCCGAGACACAAATTCCATTAAGTCTGCTACGCTATATTGTACCTGTTTTGATTCTATATTTATTTACTCATGTTGTTTGTTCTCTTTGTGCATTGAGTAAACAAGTATTATTATTATTATTTGTTCCACATGGTAGCGGCCTTCGGATTTATAACTGTGTTCTAAACAGTAATCGTGTAGCAAGGTTTAAGCTAGCTGGCCATATTTCTCAGCCGCGTCCCAAACAATGGCGATGTGCGGCTGAGAATATCTAAAGCAATGTATCATGGGCCTTCACAATTCTCATTGAGCCAAGCTATCCAGCTTTTTGCATCTTATATGCCAGCGAAGTACTTTGAGCTTTGCAAGCTGGGATTTCATTTAGCTGCCCAATGAAGTTATCGATCATGCCTCCAAGAGAACCGATTATCAATACAATTAGTTTGACAACAGCCAGGATACATGCTGTGCAGCTCGTATAGTAGGTCCCGATATTTGTCTCTCTTTTCTCTTTCTTTGAGTATGACTTTTTCTCTGCAGGGCTAGAGAATTCTATGACAAATATATGTTTCTTTTCTTTGTCGAGCACGGTGTGATCTGGCTTATTAGCATTCAACTTTCTGGTGGTAGGGAAGGCGTGGTTGCAATAAATGCGACACTTTTCATTTTCGACAACCGTTTATTATTATTATTATTATTATTATTGGGGACCTCGGTTGGCCGCGTGGGTCAGAGTGTCGTGCTACTGATCAGCCGGTCGGCCGGGCCGCGAGTTCGAATCTCGCCTTGGCCATGGATGTTGTGACGTCGTGTGCTTGTCCATAAATTAGAAATTTCAAATATAACAACCTAGTTTCTGGCTGCATGGATTAGGTCCTAAAGTCAAAAAAAAAAAAAAAAAATTATTATTATTATTATTATTATTATTATTATTATTATTATACAGATGGAATTCACACGGCCGGAACTTAGACACTATTATCAATAAGTCAGTGACCACTAGACCATTAGAGTTTGGTCATGTGCCATATTTATTCGCCTCTAGACAACATTCATAACTACTGGCATCTGGTGGCATGGTACTTCAACTGATGTTTATGTAGGTATGTCCACTTAAAGGATATTCTATATGTTTGACTCAACCTACAGTTGAGCTTCTCTATTGTTAATTTATTTATTATCCACAACAATGCGAGGCTTAACCACATTACACATATTTTGTGTGAAAAAGGAAAAAATACAAAAGCTGGTAAATTGTGAATTATTAAAATAAGCTAATTTATTGCCTTTCTATTTATGCTTTAACGTTTGGGATGAAACCTTATCCCACTTAATATGCCAATGTCTCCATTGCCCAAGCATTGCCTACATGAAAATACAGAGAACTAATTTTTGCGCTTGATTTTGGAAAATAACAAGAATCAGTGAATCTGTGTCCAAATACAATGCAGCCAATCTGGGTCAAATTTCCAACTTCTGACCACTATTGTGCCATTTTGGTTTTTCAAACAACTAAAACACCTCTGCCTACCTGCCAATAGCAGATCGAGGTACTTTGTCATCGAAGCAACACGTGCAGACAAAGGTGCAGCAGAACTTGGCGCAAATATGCTTTTCTAAGTAGATCCTCGTCGAAAACTTTATCAGAGATCATGCAGACTAAGTTCATTACGGTAGAGAAGTTTGGGAATTTTGCATGATATAATGGAATTATCTTTCATAACAAAGGCCAATAAAAGTACGCCTAGCGCTTTGTATATCGGCAAAGCCGATGGAACTTCTCTAACTTCTAGGAGAAGCTGTACAGGGTGATTCACTCCTTGGCGACGTCTATGATACAGAATCAGTGTTTGCAATATAATAGGGCTTGGCAACCACGCATAGCGTATACATAAACTTTAATGTTAAACTTATTTGACATCACCCGTGAATCATTGTTATGGCGCTAAGTAAACTACGTACCAGCACCGTTGTTCAATATTGCTTACTATCTACTGAGTTTGCAGACAAATAGCAGAGCTCAGGCTAAAGTGATTAACATACGTGAACTCTGCCAATCGATATCAAAGTTGTCAGAATTTCTGAGGCACTCCGTTCAAGCGGACTAGACTAAGGCTATACTGCACGTAACGTTAGCTCATAGTAGCAGGTGCAACTGAATATAACTGACCGAAATGTAGGAAAAAGCTTACGAATGCAGTATTTGTAATTGTCAACACTTTCTAGCAGCTAGATTTTCTTACTGCAGGGGATAGGTATACAAACCTGACACTAACGGGACCGTTATTAATCTATTAGTGCTTCAAGATCTTCTAATCACATCCAAATATCTGAACCGTAACTTCACAAGGCTTTCACTGTGACACAACAGGCCAATACTGTTCCATTCAGTTACAGGCAAGTAACTTTGTACGTTTTATGCCCTCTACTTCTGGTGTCCTTGGGCTTTGATATTTTGCCCATTTTTGCCCTGATTGACCAGTTCAGCAGTCAGGAAACTTTGATATAATATAACAATCGCAAGTCCTGTATTGGAAGGGAATGTATATTTCCGATACTCAAATTTCTGATATAGGTAGATTTGTGTAACAGATCGGGCTTGGATCTTCCTGTATTGATAAAGCAACGCATAGTAACACCAAAATTCTAAGCTTTCCTGTCCCGGATAATCAGGGCAACTTAGCATCAGGCTTTGACGATGTGCGGTTTCCTGTCGCTGCTGCGGTGCTTCGCTAAGTTTTGGCTTGGTTTATCGGCCGATGTTGTTGGTAGATTTAATCTGCTCACCCAGAATTAACCCTCAAATGCTTGATCTGAAAAGAGCAAAGAACAAAGTGTCTTGAAGGTGTCTAAAGTTTGTCTCCAATGGTTGACAATTTTGATCTCTCATTTTCCAAAATATTTTTATCCTAGACTATGTAACGGTTTCACCGTCCGATCGTATTTATTAAATCACTTCTCGATTATCATTTCATTAATCCCATCTCTAGCTTTTTTGCTTGGAAAATTTTCCGCTTGGAGCGCTTGATGCGGAGTTCCTGATCTGCGATCTTCCTCGCGCTTCCTTTTCACCTGAGCCGCCGATCGAACAACGGCTAGAAATTTCTTCTCAGTAGCACAAGGTTATATAGCACCATGTGCTAGAATTTTCTAGAATGTGTGTCCGTATAGGACAAAAATGATTGGGGCCACCCCCTTTCTCTTTCCCTTTCACTTTGCCTAGCCTTGGCCAATATTTTCACCCATGCATGTACCTTGGCAGCGCCATCGCCTTTAACTTCGCCTACAACTGGTTACGAAGCCACTATATGGAGGTCACCCCTCATAACTGGGACCTCCCCTTCAAGCCCCTGGCCATCCTGGCTTCAGTCGAGTAAAAATGGACCAGCGAAAGATAAGTCGATAGCGTTATAGCAGCGCCAAAGATGTAAAACTTATTTTGTTATTTTTGTAAAATTGTAATGTAATGAAAATGCCTTTTTTTTTGTTAAATAAAATCTGTTAAATTTTTGTGTTCTGTTTGTTCTTCTATCCTCTAGCCATGCCATGGTCGACACACAGCTACACGCCTGTAGATGTCTTCATGCCACCAACTGAGCTACCGGAAGCTAATTGTAACCCCCTTTCTGTGATTGTGCAGAAAAGTTGGAATCTTCATTGCATTCCATCTTTTCTGGACTTTTTGCGGAAAGGAAGCGTTACAACTACGAGGTCTACAGAATAGATCCTTAGTGTGCTTTTTGTTCTTATAATTCGCTTTAGCATCTGGCAACTGCGGCATGGATCCTTTGTCAATCTTTTTCTATCGGATCTTCATACTGAACCATCACTAAAGGGGTTCCAAAAAGTTTCTGGTCTGAAGGAGCTGCTGGTCTCGTGTAAATCCGACTCAATAATACTACTTCAAGTCAGTTGCATTGAAAAGGCACTTGAGGCTAGTCTTTAGCTTGCGATATGTCAAGGTGTTGCTTGAGTTTGGTCAAAATTTAATGAAATATCTGGAATTTTTATATGTTCAAGGTATTTTTTGCTACATTATGTTATGAAGTTTGAACGAAATTGTTGTCATTCCAGTTCAACATGTTCTGATTGAATGTCAGCCCAATCGGGCCCGGAACGAAAACACTAAAGAACAGAACCCCCAGGCGCCAATCCGTCATGTGAATCATGCGACACGGCATGCTTCCGGATGCTATGAGCTTACAAACTTTGATCGGTCTTGAATTCCAATGGACTAAAAACATAAATGGTAATTGATGGAATAAACTTACAGCTGTCATACGATTTATGTATACAGTAGAGTCGTAACGACTTAGTTTGGCCTTACAATACGGAACGCTGTTTCATGTAGAAGAAAAAAGTCATACCTACTATCTTTTTACATACCCATAAATCTTTGGTACTATGGAGCAGTTGTTGTGGACAACATTTCAATTGTTAGCAACAACATTTTAAATAAGAAATGGGGCACCAGCAATAAATCGAGGTTCCTTAAGATGGTGTTGTAAGAATCACCAATCTATCGTGAATCTGGCAACAATTCGTACTGATCCAAAGCGGTCGGGATCCAGTCTGTAGGACCGTTTACACACACACCGGCTAAATCGGTGCCGGTGCCGGTACCGATTCCCGTGCCAGCAAAGATTTAATTTCACATATACCGGCATTTCCGTGCCGTCAATTTTATTCGGTGTTTGGCACTGGTAAAAGAAAGATGTATGTTTCTGCTCATAATAAACGTTGTCTTCTAGGGCTACTGTATCTCAGGAGTAAGTATCGAAAAGCTAAAAAATAAAGACACAACACTAGGTGCATCCTCTACTGTGAGATACTTAGAAGATGGCTTCTATACACTTTTAAAAAACTTAGGAAAGAGAATTCTTTAATTACCTTAGAATGAGTACTGATTTCTAGTGGAACGATTATTAAATAATATCAAGTATCAGAATACTTCAATGAGGGCATGTATTCCTCCAAAGGTCGCAGTCACAATAAGGTGAGTGAATACGAATAAATACACATACCAATTATTTTTAATGTTTATTTATTAACAAGTTGATAGGTTAGATGTCTTGAAAAAGGGGTAATGTGGATTCAGATAAAGTTGTACTGGGATTGCTATAAGTAGATTGGGCTAGGTTATCAAGTAAAAACTGCTGTTGACTCTGTTGAAAATCGTGAGCATGTTGGCGATTACTGGAATAATAGAAAACTTGAAACGTACGGTGTGCAAATGGCGCTGATGATCGAGAGGTTGATGTAGATGTGTGGGTGGCAAATGTTGGCGTTTGCACTTTGTTACGCATGTTGATATTTTTTTTATTAATTGAAGTACATTCATGCGGAATTCCAGCGTATCATCTTCTGACATCTGTCGTACTGATGGGGTAATTGACATAAGAAATGCCTCATCCTCGTCAGGTGGGTTTTCTAGCGCCTTTAAAATTCTCTTATCTACGTCTTCTTGCAAGCGAGGTTTTTTTGATGTGTTCCAGTTTCCTGCAGGCCTAGGCTTAATATTTTTTTGGAATTGTATTTGTACTTCATACTCCCTCTCGGCTTCGTCTTGGGTTTCATTCAACAGAGAATGCTTGTTATCCTGGGCGTCATCAATACTTGACTGCGTGTCGTCTGATTGTATCACTTTTAGGTTATCACGGCACAAATACTTTTTGTAGTGGCTTGTCCAGATATTTTCTTCAATGACTAGACAAAGGAGTCACGGATATTTTGCCATTCACCTATAAGTAAAATTAAAAAATCATAAAAGTGTGCAATAAAATTATGCAAAACGAAAGGTTTTTTGGTTTTATTTTTTAGTTATCAATATATCAATAATAGTGCTTTTAAATTTTAGGTACCTTGCCTCTGGAGCAACACTTACTGATTTACACTACTACTGCAGAATCGGAATAAGCACAATAAGTAAAATTGTTCGTTTGGTATGGAACTTATTAAAAGCCGAATTTCTTCCGCAGCCTAGAGAGGAAACATGGCAACGTATAGCAAATAAGTTTGATAAATCCACACTGCTCCTCAATTGCTTAGGCGCTATCGACGGAAAACATAAACGAGCTAACCGATTTCCCCATAGTAGCTCAATGAACCTTAATTACAAGGGTTATTTTTCCATTATTCTTATGGCAGTGGTCGATTCCGATTATAAATTCATATATGTTGATATATTGGCCTGTGGCATCTGTATTTCAGCAAACAGTATTTTTCAAATTAATGATGAAAGATCAATGACATATCCCACCACCATTAGAAGTAACTGATGCGACCTTACGTTGGACATAACCTTACTGAGAAAAGAAGAATATTCAATTATCGATTAACTCGGGCAAGAAGGTACGTTGAATGTACTTTCTGTATACTTTCTAATAAGTGGAGAATTCTACACAGAGCATTAAATGTATCAATAGAATAATCTAAAGACATTGTTAATTAATAATAATTGTGTAATTTTACATAATGTGGTGCGAATAAGGGATGCAGACAAATTAGAGATGTATGTAAGCCAGCAAAAGCTACAAAATGTGCAAATAGCTCCTTTTACTAGGCCGACAAGAAATGTAAATTATTTAAGGGATCGCCTCGCAGATTATTTTATAACTACTGAAGGGATGTTGCCGTGGCAAATGGACAAAATATAATAACTATGTAAATTGTGTACTATTATTACTTGATATACAGGGTGTCCCAGAAGTCGACGTCAAGCCGAAACCGGGTGATAGGCAAAGTTGTAACAGCTATCAGAAAAGCTCTTCTGCCCCGGGATTATGAGCCCCGAGTTGCTTTTTGTCGCACAATGTTAGAAAGACACAGGAAAGATCCACGGTTCTTTGAAAAAATTTTATGGTCAGATGAGACCACATTCAAGAAAGATGGGTACATGAACCTGCATAACTTACACGAGTGGCACGTAGCAAACCCACATTTGATGAGAGAAGATAAATCTCAATATCGCTTCAAGATAAACCATTGGACAGGAATTTTAAATGGTAAAATAATCGGTCCGTTTGAGTTCCCAGATACTTTGACTGCTGAGGGTTATTTAGGTTTTTTGCAAAATCATTTAGAAAATTTATTGGAGGACGTGCCACTGAGTATTTACAGGAACATGTGGTTTCAGCATGATGGCTGCCCAGCGCACTATGCACTCTCAGTGAGAGAGTATCTCGATCAAAACTTTCCAGGCAGATGGATAGGGCGGTCTGGTACAATACCGTGGCCAGCCCGGTCACCAGATTTGAATCCGTTAGATTTGTTTTACTGGGGAACTGTACAAGAAAAAGTGTATTTCAAGCCGATTCAAAATGTAGCTGAGCTACGGCAAAGACTATTGGAAGCAGCTGAGTTTGTTAATAACCGTGGATTCGCTCGTTTAATAACCCGATCTTTTTTAAGAAGATGTCGAGCGTGTATTGCGGCTGAAGGAAAACAGTTTGAGCATTTGCTGTGAAGGTAAATCATCATCAGCAGCATTTTGACGCCCACTGTTGTGCAAATAGTTATCCTTAAGGGTCCTTGTGCGTTTTCATAATCGCTGTTTAATTAGGAAATTTTGAAAAATTTTCATCAGTTTTTCTTCAAATAAAAATTGTGCATAAGTTAACGAGTAATCTTCTAAGTGTTATACCATTTTGGAATCCTTATTAAATGCGCCAACTTTTAAGGTTACTTGCCAAACTCTCGTAGTACATTTTTTTCCAGTACAGCCAGTTAAAGTTGAGCAAAGTTTTACTTTGGAATACTTGGTTGGGAAATAAGTGGCAATTTTTCCTGAACGAGAAAAGTTGGCAGTAAGGTTGAGACACCAGTTTGAAGACTCATTATTCATCATTACATTGTAAAAATAAAATCCAAAAAAAGTTAATATTTGTAGTAACAGGAGTTGACAGACTGCCGTAGGGTGTGAAATTTCTATATCTTTTTCAAAGACCTATAATTTTCAGAACACATACATAAAACTTTTTTAAATATTTTTCTGATAGCTGTAATGACTTTGCCTGGGACACCCTGTATATGTATATTACCTCAAATATTTCCTGTTGTTCCTTTTTGTCCTTTTGTATGAAATCTTCTTCAAAGAACGCACATGCTTCCTTCCACGTTTTTTCTTTTTCAATGTTATCTTTGAAACCATCCGCAGATTTGTCCCACAAACATTTTTTCTATTGCTTCAATTAACATCATACTCAAACAGTTTACTCATTGTCACGACAACAAGGTTAAAAGGTACAATAATTATTAAACACCAAACGACCTTATTTACTTTCTACGAGGTTAATGATACACCAAAAACTTAAATGCGTAAAAATAATCCCCGGCATCGGCACGCCTGAGCCTGTATGGACTAGTATAGATTATAAAACTGTGAAATCGGCAAACCGGAAGCCGGTCCGTGGCCTGACTGTTGAGATCACCACCGGTTGCATTAACCGGAATCGATGACCGAACCGTCAAATAAACCGGACCGGGCTACGTGTGAAAATATTTATTTTATTACACTGCATCTTGTGTCGGCATCGTTACCGGTCCCGATCTTGCCGGTGTGTTTGTAAACGGCCTAAAGCGAGTCGTCGATTGGTAGGTGAGTCGGACGGAACGAAATGAACCGATCCGCTGGTACGGGTCCAATAAAGGAACGGATCCAGGGAATCGAATCCTTTAATAAAAATGGACCGGCCAACATGTAACGAAATCTACCGTTTGGTTCCTAAGATACCTAAAAAGGCTTGGTTACATCAAAATACGATTTCCAGATAAAAATGTTGTATTATAAAATAGTAAGGTTTGAAAGGACTCGTCTAGTAGTGGTCTTGAATTTGACCTTGACTATGACTAAGGTCATTTCAAGCTCAAGTCAGTTTCCTGGAGACTTCTATTTTTGACTCAACGAATGTAGACAGCGAGAAAGTTTTCATTCAACTGGGTCGCTGTCCATGACCTTGGTCTCTTTAGGGCATCCAAAGGGTATGAAGAGAACCAAATATATCGAAAAATATACCAAGAGAAAAAAATGCAGATCAGGTCTAAAAAGGGTGGGGGCGGGACGCGAAATTACTGTTCTAGAAGCACGAATAGGAGTACTCCATTAAGAAATTCTTTTCATCCATGAATTACTTTGAAGATCATAGTCAAGATGATGGTCGAACACATGACCTTATCTGTAAAATGTTCCGTTTTTTATATCCCCCACACAAAGCAAGGACCTTAACTGAAAGTTTGTGTGATCTGCAAATGACATTGAGGATCATGAACCGGTTCATTGATAGGGATGTACTTGAATGTCGGGTTGTCAACAATTTGACATTCCAGAAATCAAAAATAGGTGTTCCTCGGTAACAGTCTATCTGATGTTCGAGTGTCGATCATTATAGTCAAGGTCATCAACATACTTGAATATAAAATTTGCCCTTCCCTACATATCCGGTGTCAATAATATGGTTTCGTCTTAAGGAAAATCCTCTTGCATTCAAACGACCTTGAAGGTCACAATCAAGGTTTCGTTCAAACTCATTAATGGATGACCCTTTTCAAACCTCAGAACCTTGTTCTGCAACATTTTTCTCTGTGAGGCTTATATTTCAAGGTATTTAGTTACATCCATACTATCCGCTGTCCCGTTTCTAAGATACTTGGCTGCAAAGTTGATAAATCTGTAGTGTACATCGTATTGATGTTTTCCCATATTATTTTATCCCGTAAGGCAAGCAATTACCAGCATTTCGGTAGTTCGGCTGGCGGTTGGTAGAAACTTTCAATTCAAACTATCGTGCTGGTAATAGAGATTGTAGTGGTCAGCAGCACTGGTTATGGGTGACAAAAAGTAAAAAAGCAACTATGAGAAGCATGGCTTAGATATTCAAGACTTCCAATGTGT